AGTCAGTAAGAGTCTGACACTCCCTTCCGCCTCATCCAGACGGGAGCAGTCATTCGATGATTATCCTCCCTTAAAAAATGCCTCTTCCGATGCCTTCCAGTTAATTCGTTTAGAAGCAACCTGAAGCTAACTGATTTATTTGAAAAATATGGACAGGGAAAGAAGGAGTAAAGTAATGTTCACCTGCAGAAAAATTTAATGTTTAAAGTTCGGTTTATTTTTACGAACTACTAATTCTAAAGAGTCTGTCAACCACTTCATTAATATGTAGGTATACAACACAATTAGATACTAAGAAAAAATGTTCACGAATAATTGAAAAAAAATTGTAACGGCTTTAGAAAGTAATTGGCAATTTGATACAGATTCTGAGCACTGAAACGGTGTGAGACGTCTTTTCAGTAGATTATTAAGGAACTTGTAATATTAGCTTCTGAAAATGCCATTTTGTAGAGTACTTGAGAGGCTTTAACTACGTGTCATTATCGTTTTCTGAGTCCCTTGAACAAATCGTTGGCCTTGAAAAAAATAGGATGTCAATGAAGAATAATATTATCAAAAATGAATATTGTCTGAATGGCCTCGAAATGTCCAATGACGGTAAATTTAAATTTAGGCCGTGCTAGGATATGATACTATATCATACTAGGACTTGAGTGAGGTCGACCTAAATCAATCATGATATTCGAAATAAGTCGATAGCAAAACAGAGAGGAATAATAAACTTTGTTGTTAGTTAAACTATTTACAAGGTTACCCTTTGAAAAATAAAAGCAACTTTATGAAAAACATCAAAATTGAATTTGTTTTCTAAGTCACAACATGAGTAATACCTCTCATCCTTCACTGTGGGTGCTGGACATTAGTTAAATGCACGTACTTAGACGTCCTTACTTGAGTTATTTATGTCCCAAACGTGGAAACGAACTCAGTTGGGAACGTGCGCTTCGTTCACACCCACGTTTCGTGGACAGATAATAGAATACTGCAAATTGCATTCAGGGGAAACAAGCTGAGTCACAAAATTCCTTTTGTGAAAATTCTATTTCATTTTTACCTTTGCTAAGAGAATGACAGAATTTTCAAAATGTTAAGACGTAATTTTGTTTTTAAACGAAATTTATTTCATTATACATGTAAGTGTGGGAGAGTCATGCTTCGGTACGATTGGGCCGGCTCGACTGGAGTGATACCACGGCCTCACAGAAAACCGACGTGAAGCAACGCTTGCGTTGTGTTTCGTCGAGTGAGTGAGGTTACCGGAGGCCCAATTACCCTCCCCTTCCCCAATCTCCCCAATCCCTGAAACCCCAACGATCCTCAAACTCCTAATCCCCAAAAACACGGTAACGCACTTGTAACGCCTGTGGTGTTCCAGGTGTCCATGGGCGACGCCGATTGCTTACCATCAGGTGATCTGTCTGCTCGTTTACCAGCTTATGGCATAAAAAAAATACATCAAAGGGCTTAACCTCTTGACTGCCGGTATATAAGACACAATAGAAAATACATTTTGTCTCGCGAACCTACCTATAACACCTCACATACCTATGTTTTCAAATAAAAATATTCTGATTCTGATCCTGATTCATATACCTCCTTTCCTCCGGTCAGATTTTACAGGTAAAATTCAAACATTCATAGTAGGTGAACTGAAATATGGATACCAGTGCCAATAAATGCCAAGCTGTATTGAATTGTCTAATCTTAAACTAAGATAGAATACTAATTTCAAATTAATTATTAATCAAAATTGACTTCAAAAATGAGTAAGAGTAAGGTATATATTGTATAACTTACCTAAATGTTTTATAAACAGTAATTTATAATTCTATAATTAAGAAGGAAATATGGGGGTTGCCTGGAAAGATTTTCGGGAGTTTTGAAAATTCTGCAATTTTGTTCCGATTGCCATTTTGCACGTGCAAAATTACCAATATTCAAAACTTCTCGACGACATTCAAAATTCCAGATACAAATACCAAATGACTAAACTATATAAATATGTAGTACAGATACCGTGACTGTGGTCTCAGTTTTGTAAAATACCGTTAACAAAAAGAAACAACATTATAAATACTATCGAGTTAAAATTACATCCAATGTACGGTAAGAAGTTCGTTCCCTAGAGATTATTCTGAATGAATAATCAAAGATATTTTATTTAAACTTTGTCATTCACTTCACAAACGATTTTATAAGTATGATAAAAATTATTGCATCAAAAAAGGTGTACCAAGAATGCACTTCTGTGTCAGTTTTTAGTATTCTTAGTATAAATTAAAATATACACAAAAACATTTTTTACAACTATCCTTTACTTTTAATTGTGTAATTCTAAACAGAAGTCTTCCACAGATGTTTTTTTGATGATGAAACTGAGTTATGCGACATCTAGTACCGATTCAAGACACTTTCATGATAGAGATATGTTGTGGTTACAGAGACTTCTAATAGATGGCGTTATATTTAATAAAAATATTTACATATCAACATGTCTCTTTTTTGTTTTTTTTTTATATAATGTTATCTATTGGGTTTATTGTTATAAAAAGGGACAAGGTTTTCTATTGACATGTTGCGTGGAAATAATTTCGTACACCAGATAATTTTATCGAGTTTATTTTCAACTTCAGGCATAGGGTGTAAATAAAAATCAATTTAAAAAATACTACAGCTCATATAATCGAAGTTACACTTTCATTTCATCAACAATGATCACAAAAGTTTCATATCTTTTGTTTACGCACCGCATAGAACATTCCGTTGGCATACAACTTAAAATTTCATTATACAATTGAACGTATTATTTAAAAATAATTTTACTGGAACCGTATTTTTATTATTTTTTACTTTATTTACATTAAAATTCGCAAATACAACTGGTATTTACATTATTAATTTATACATAATGTCTTACTGATTTTCGCTTATTATTTACAAATTCTACGTTTCTTAAACAACATTTTGGTCAATTCTTATTTATAAATAAATAGTTTTTTTTTATTTTGAAATTTAGCTAAAATTGGGACTCACTCGCAAAAGTGTTCGATAGGTATAATTATGTTTTTAAATATCATGGAAAGGTATAAATTATACACTAGGATAGTCGGTAGCAATAGACGAGAATTAATAAAATATAATAATAATAATAATATAATTAGTGCAAACACTTTTGTGAATCACTGTCCTAGACAAAACAGACTATAAAGCAATTATACTTAGTGACTAGATTTTTAAAATTCTTCATAATGGGGACAATTCGTTAGGCTACTGTTAAGTAAAGACCGATAATGTAAATACCTAGTTTTACTAAAATGCCACTTTCATATTATATTATTGTGCGTATTTGGATTTAGAATTTGCTATGAAAAGATACCGAGAAAATAATCGGACAAGAGAAAAATAATTCGAATAATGATATTATATTTAATTATTTTAGAATGATATAATTAGAAGGTAGGAGTAAATAAATGAATAATTAAAGGCGAAATATATATAGTGGCAGTAATTAGGTAAACAGTAGGTAATGTATGTATGACGTGTAAAAAGGTCGAGGTAGTTAATACTAGGGAATATAGAAAGTATTTTTTTAAAACACTGTTTATGAAAAATTTTAGGAAAAGTTTTAATAAGATGGGTAAGATTATTATTTTAATAATTAATATAATGCAGGAAATATTATTTTTTAATTTCTACACTAATCTGTCGTATATCTAAATATACTAGTTGGTGTTTTTTTGTATAATTATTACGAACAATTATTTTTATAGGATTATTCAATACCCTAGCTACTTACAGGTTTTAAGTCAAAAAAATTAATAAAAATATGGTTCGGTATGAAATTCTCTCGACGCATAGGCAACCAAATAGTGTATTTATGTTACTCTGAAAATTTCATGTCATCCAAATATAAACCTTATTGCTTGTCTGAAAAAGCCGTAATAGTAAAGAAAATATAAAAACTAAATAAATAATCCTAATTAATATTTCTTATGACATATCCTCTGAGATTAATTTTTTACTCTTATTTGGTTGATATTTTATTCAAATTGTGTAATAAAAGAAAACTATAGATTAGTTTTATTTTTAGTTCATGGTTCCTGCATTACCAAGGTGTTTCCTGACAAGTTGTACCTTCAATTGGGCCTTTCAAAAGTGCTTATTTGCAATCCTTTAATATACTCATTAATGTAAATATTTCATTACATCTATTTGGATTTCATCTATTTCTATATTAATTATAGAAATTGGTCTATTCTATTTAAGTGTTATTCGTACATGCGTGCCAATATACCTGCTATTTTACAATCGGGACATGAAAAATCAGTGCAGATTTATTTGAGCAAAATCCTCATCGGTTTTGATACTTATGTTAATGCGATATCCGATTTTCCATTAGTCTTTCAAGTAAGTGTTACCAACCAAACATCATGAAGAGAAGGAAAAATTTTAAAACTAAAATGTACAAACAAATTGATCCCATCATACAACACGTACAGCTACAAAATTCAGATATTTACTAAATATTACGCTCTCAAATTTTAGAATACCTATTTACATTCATAAGTTATTAAGATAATAAAACTGAATTATCGAAATTTCGTAGTGTTTTAGGCACTATTTAGACAGCCATCAATCTTATGTCTTATACAAAGCTTTACTTAATCTAACTCTTAGAAAAAATTGTTTACAATCTACATGTCAATAGGCAGGTAGTAACAATTCAATTATCTAATCATATAATATCTAAAAGTGTGTATACAGGTCTCTTAGAATTTGTGCAAATATCACATTTCGATAGTGTTCGAACAACGCAAATGGAAACACACTTAGCTTACGTTAAGCCACGTCATACGTAGCCATAATCTGATCTCAAAATTTATTATTTAATTTTTTTCCGATTTCTCTGTAAAACATAGTTCACTTACGGATTACCTCAATAAAACTTTGTTTTAGAGAGTATTAAGTATTTAAAATATATTGCAAATAATGTGATCAGATTACTGTTTTATATTATTATTTATGTATAAAATATATTTCGATTCTTGTTCGAATACTATCCAAGGTGACATTTACAATTCTAAAGTAGATGGAGTAACGTATAGTTTTTATTTCATAGCTAAGTCTGGCATTGTGATATAATTATTCCAAATCGTGTTACTTTCCATACGTTATATACTTATACAATGAACCGAAACCAATGTATAGTGACTACGATGTGTACTTTACAATAAATGCCTATACAGTCAGTTTATTTATTGACTGCAAAATATAAATGCAAATCTATGTGTTATATAACTATTTCATTAGTCACTATATTAATTTTTACTGCTATGTGTCTGTACATTAAGAAATCTATGAAAGTGACTACTCTTAAATTCGTTTCCAAAGACTTCTCAATGTCACAATATCGGTGGCGTTCACAAAAACCTTAGTAAAAACACACTCAGCTTATAAAACAGTGTTATTGGTTCCTCGAACATCAGATAAAACGTGAACAGACGTGTTGGTAATAACTATCTATACTAATTCCGATAATGTATTCAAAATATCGTCTAACGTAATTAGCTAAAGCGTCTATCGATAAAGCATTTGTATAATCACAACAGCAAGTCCGTACCGCCTCATTTCTTTTCACTATCTAAACAATATCACTAAAAAACAGTCTGGCACATCCGAAACTTTGGGGAACAGCGAAGAAAACTACGGCTGACCTTGTCTCGCACCGCGGCGTGGTCCTTCGGTATGCCGAGAAAATCGTTTCACTTTTTCCGTTCGTCACCCAACGTAAGATAAAGATGTCGAAAATAGTTTCAATAAACGGATTTGTTTCATGACGGTATAAAAATACAAATCTTCACATAGTAAATGTTCGTTTTGATTTGCAGTTTTATGGAGGAAACATGAGATAAAATGGCAATATGAAAAGTCAATAGTTTCTTATTCGTATCGCGTGCTATTAGTGAGATTAATATTGTTATTCAATAGCAAATTCTGCGTAATTTTTGCTTGATATCGGGGTAAAAACTTAATATTTTTCGTGCAAAGCGTTCATTGAACTAGTATCTTCAAATCTCTGTCTTCCATTGTAAAACAACTTCCCCGACAACCTCTTTCGGGCGTAGTCATGAAGGGGGGGTCAGAGGACGGGCGCCGAGTTTCGTCGAGTTCAGCACAGGAGTTCGGAGTTGGAAGGCGGTACTCAGCTGGGTAGAGGAGGCCGAGACGCGTGTGGAGCGGGGCTAGAAGGCTGCGGCTGCGCTGGCGAAGGCGTATGCGTAGTCGTGCTCTCTGGAGCCGAATGCGTTCGCCCCGCCGGCTGCAGCACTGGGCTTGGGGGCCAGGGATGTGACGCTGTCGCCAGCGTTCTGGAAACATATAAATATAGTTTCAGAATAAAAACAAATATTTATTGAAAGATAAAAAATATGAACTGCGCTCGGCCGTTGTTGTCGACGAGTGTCGTGGTTGCCACTTTCATGTAGTGCGCTAGCGTCGGCCCCTTCCCCGGTCCCCGTGGTGACGTCTTCGGTGGGTTGCAGCGTTAACAATGGTTTTAATGTAATAGGCTTAGGAATAAAACACATTGAGATTACCTGGTGTAAGGCGTAATAGTAGATGAGGGCGGAGTAGGCACAGCAGCAGTGTCGGGATGCAGGAAATTTCTTCTCTGCTCCGCCCGTTCCCAACACTGCTGTAGACACCGAGCCATTACATCTGGTAAATTATTTACTTGTTCCTGAAACATACAAAGAAGGGTAATGCGAGATAAATCCAGTAAATATCAAGCAGGGATTAAGTTAAATGTTACTGCATCTAGTATGACTATATCTCTTATTGAATAGTAATCGAGAGATATCATGACAACACATGAAGGTAAAGCTAGGAACGAGTTTCAGTGTAATATTGCGCCGTAATCAGTACCTGTAATGAAGTAAGTTTTTCTTCTAAACTAGTCAGCCTCTCTTCAATGGTGTCTTGCCTCGTACTCATGTCCGAAACAATCTCGTAGACTGTATTCTGGGTCTGTAAGAGAAAGGGGTCCTAATATCAATCGCTTTGCAGTTCATTATTTACTGCAGTTGCTAATAACTAGTCTGTGTTAGTGTATTAGGTTTGAGTAACTGTATGATTGTCTGTCTCATGTGTGTTATGAAGTGTTAAACGAATGTCATTCGATATATTGTGCATGTTATCAAAAAATAGTTTAGAAAAGATTGTGATTTCTAAATCCAAAACATGCACATTCTTAGCTAAGGTTCGTTTGATAAAATTTCAGCAAAATAATTTTGGTCTAATTGATGCATGCGCTAAGCAAATGGCCAAATGGGTTCAGAACAGATTTTTAGCATGCTATGATTACAATTTTGATGCAATTCTGGATTTAAAATTAAATATAATTAGTTTAAAAATCTAGCGTCTAAAGGATATTTGGACTGTTACCATAGGGGTACTACGTATCATGGAAGATTTATAAAGAACTTCTACATCTAAATCTATTTCTTGCATTCCTAAAGTGCTTACTAGGGTTCTACCTCTAAATGAGTGTATGAGTGTAGCAATAGCAGTAAATATATTTTTTAGAAATTAACGTACCTTTGCCATATCTGTAATAGTATTGGCATTGTCCATCAGCTTCCTCTGATCCATTTTTACTTTCCGTAACCTAGGAATTGGATTGAAAATTTTAATTGAAATTTAGGAGTTTAGAGTGCAAAACACCATACTATATATTATTCAAATAAGAATAATTATATATCAAATGGTCATGACCTATTCTCCATTACCATGATTTTTAGTAAATTCTCTTCGACGAGGTTACACAAATAAAATGAAACACACATACTCACGCATAAATAGCTAATAAAAATTTTCTTTGATGCGTTCTCACTCTTCCAGGATGGACTCGTTTGACAAGCCTCGTGTGTTTGTATATTAACCACGTCTCCCGAAGCACGTTGGCAGCGGCATTTTTCAGCTGTAAGTATCCATGTTTGCAATCAGATAATTAGTATGTCTTTTATTCATCTTTAACACATGACATCACATGGTGTCCAATGTATCTTAAGCTTAATGTGATCCAAGCTATTTACCTTGAATTTGTTTTGAACATTATTATTAACTTTATCAGATTTCTCTTATTTAGTTTCTAGCAAAGTGTCATCACTATTGTGTGTTTTGGTAAATCCATTAACTTCATCTAATGTGTGTTACTCATTGTGTCAAGCATTAATTTTAAGCAGATTTTTATCGTTATCATTTAAATTATCTTAATCATCTTTAGCATAACCTAGCTTATAAGTCTTACCTTCATCGTGTCCTTTGACTGTTAGTCGAGTAACAGTCACCTTACCTTTTTTGTTAGCTGGGTTTCCATCATGAAGTTATGGACATGTTTCTCCGCTCTAGTTAACTCTAATTTTCTCGAAGCAACGGTCACTAATAATGCTGTACATCCCGCCCCCTGTTAATTAGATTAACAATAATTGTGATGAACTTATATCACAGCAATACTTACTCTTTTAGTAAGCTGTGTGTCCATCATGAAGTTATGAACGTGCTTCTCGGCTCTAGTTAATTCTAATTTTCTTGAAACAACCGCGACTAATAACGCTGTGCATCCAGCTCCCTGTTAAGTGAATACCTTAATGTAAAATGCAAGCGAACGTGTAGAAGCATTCAAGAATTTGTCATTCCAATAACGCAAGTTTGAAGGCTAAAAATCAAAAATAAAACTATAAATTTTTCAGCTATGTGCTATCTTTTTGATTATTTAATGTTATTATTATAAAATAAAATTTAGTGAGGACAACACATACAATACTAATAAATTACATCTTAGAGCGATCTGAAAATCATACCGCCCAGTATTGTATGAATCATCCTCTTTGATAGCATGGATAATTTAAAAATTACTATTTAAATCTGGGTTGATATTATTTAATTCACTTATAATTATAAAAACCTTTTGTGCTAAAATGCAGAACACTATGCAAATAGAATAAAAGAAGGAAATGTCTTACTTACGAAATGGTTTACACAAAAATGTAATGAAAGCACCGGTTTCCTTCTTTTATTGAAAGTTTCATGTTGTTAGAACAATAGACAGTTTCTCATCAAACACGACAGTTATTGTTAGTGCATATCCATCTAATAAGTGCACAAAACTGATTCAGTTCAACGTTTACTTCCATTTTAACATTAAGAACATCTAATATCTCATTTAACTTTATCAACATTTACACAAACACTATTTTAGGTGCAATAAGATTTATTGTACACTTCTGTATTAAAATAATTTTAGGAAAAGTGAGCCATTTTAAAACAAACGTATTGTGCAATCCAGTGAAATATTTAAGTGAAGAGAGAGCTAGAAATAGTTAGGAGAAATGAAGCATTCCATACTACAAATTATATAATTTCTAATAGCTGGCTTTAACAGGGAAATGGACGTAAGTTTATTCAAAAAATATTTAAACCGTACTTATTATATTTATATAGGTATTCCAAAATATGCTGTTGCCTGCAAGAACTACGAATAAAATATTACGATAGTAACCCTATTATCAAAATATATTGTGTATTGATTGTGAGTTACAGAAGTGGTGACATAATACAGGTGTGTAAACATAGATATAATACTGCATTCACAATTTTAACATATACATTTCGTGTTACAGATATCTGTGAACATCAATATACTTTATAAATATATTTATAACATCGAATACACCGACAAATAGTTGTGATTTAGCGTAAGTTCTCGAGAGTGAAGCATTTAGTGTGGTGTGTGAATTGTTTGGTACATTGAAACATTAGTGTTGACTGACTTCCACATCAAACGAATCGAAAGCGTTGGTATAAGAGCGAAAGCATTCCAACATTGCTGTTGGCGTGATTTTGCGCACATCGACATTCATATACATAATTATTATGAGTATTTTCTTTGGAAGGAAATCAGTTAAATTGTGTCAGTCAACACATACAGTCATAAAGTTTGTTTGTAAGGAACTTACCATAATGCCGGTGCTAACAGCAATACCTCTGCCGCAATATGTGTTTGGCACTATGTCACCAAAACCGACGGAGAGAAAGGTAATCGCAATAAGCCACATCGCATTCAGTAGGTTAGCGTGTTCTTCATCGTGAAACCTGAATGGTTAATAAATTTCAACTATTTACTCATTGACCTGTCTACCCTAAACTCGAACGACCGATAAAGAAGTGTTCATTCACAAACCCTATCCTGTGACTCGTCATACGCAAGGCGATACCTACAGGCGTAGTGGATTAGATGTAAAAAAGAAATGAAACGAAAGAAGAAAGAGAGGGAATCCGTGTGGAATTGAAGAGTTTGACTTTGATTAAAAATTGAACTGTGAAATTGCTTCAAACATTGTGACGTTATTAACAACACATAAAATGGCTCACCTTTACCGACCTATTATTGTATCACCTAGACAAAGCAAGCTTTTTTTATTTAACTAGTTTTCATAGAGTCGCAAATCTTGCGATGCCTAGTACGATTCACTCCTAGCCACACAAAACGTATGAAAGATGTATAAATTTTAAAACCAACCCAAAGTATCCTACTATGATTTTATACATACCACCATACCGCAGGTGAGGGTAATGCCACGGCCGCAGTAAGTGTTGGGGACTATATCACCGTAGCCAACACAGAGGAACGTTATAGCTGTCAGCCACATTGAGTTTAGCAAATTGGCATGGTCTTCATCGTGGAACCTGAGAGCCAAAATGCCCGACAAGAACCACAGATAACCGGTTGTTTCTACTAAAGTCAACATAAGTTCAACTTTAAGGTGGGTATAAAAAATTTAGATTTTCAACAGGGACCTCTAAGCAAAGTTTATGTGGCAAAAATGTTGGAAAAGACATGTCAGTTTAAATTTAAGGCATCAATTTTAATATTTGATAAACATTCATGTGATACAGTACTCCTAAACACAAAAGAAAATTTTGTCATGCCTATGGAAAAACAAAACTTTCTTACTACACAGACATTGTACGTACTAATATCGAATATAAAGATTCTTAAATACAACGTGCATTCTAAACATATATCTGGGTTGAATACCAAATTATACTTGTAGCCATGCGTGATATAATTTTAAACCTTAGGTGAAGGTTATGATAACACAGATAAACATTTAGTAGATAGATTGGCAAGAAGAGAGAAGGTAAAACACGTAAAAGTGATAGAGTTACAAGCAACTTGCTTCGAACGGGAAGAGGTAACTTGTTTGATGCATGATCATGAAGGGTGCAATGGTTCTGTGCATGTTGATGGTAAGTCAGAAGCTTCATCTAACATTTAGTGTGTTGTTACCTAGAGCCATTTTGTGCGTGATTTAACTCATGTTATACGTTAAATTAATATATCATTGTGAATATTTGCAACAATATTTATTGTGGTAAGCCGTGCTGTGATCATTTTTGCTCCTTTATTTTAGACATGATATAGTTCCACGGTACCTATATCAAATTCTTACTGTGCAGTTACAGTGCCAACATATTTGTTTTCATATTTAGTTCTACTATCACAACAAGCATCCTCTTTCTTTACAACGGTTTTATCCGCTACATCTAACACATAAACTAAATTACAGCTCTTGTGTTCTCAATACATATTACAAAAGCTACATTTCAAGAAAATAGTCAAAGTCAAACTCTTGTATCATTGTGATGGTTATGAACCTAGCTTCACTACATTATCTCCGTAAAACTTTAAACGTAGACATTGAAAAATAAAAAAAAATCACAGTGGGTTTAAAAAGCAAAAACAAACATATTTACAACGCCACAGTACAAAAGCAATAGCATGCCCACATAGGCAAAACACCGGTGATCTTCAAAACTTAATAATTTGAGTGTCAAACATTGAATGTGGACATCGAACTAAACGATGGAAGCGAAGATACTGACAGATAATTAGGAACAACTTTTAATGAGAAAGTAAAATATCTGAACAAATCGAATGAGCAAATCAACTTCCCAAATACTGATACAGGTTTGGAATACCCCACCCAAGATTTTGAACACAATTATTACGCAAATTAAGATATATCACCAACAACACATAACAACGATACCAACCTTTCACACTGCCGAAGAGTCCAGCTCGCGATTATCCAAAGAGATACCATAAAAACTAGTAACACGGTGCCGGGGCAAATTGTCATAAGTGTCTTCAAGACAAATCTGTAAACAGTTAATAAGGAATTATTAATACTTAATAAGGGAAATGTGAATAAATTTCCTATTACTTGATAAATTAATAATTGGAAAGAGGGGAGCAAACAATCTACCTAAATGCAAATTCAATTATGAATTATGGAGTCAACAACACGCGTTCGTCTTCATAGGGAAAGTCATGCAAAACGCGTAAAATATTATATTTTGAACTGAAGTTACTCAAGACAAAGTCAGAAAATAAATATTATAGATTAATATACAAACATATATCAAAGACAATACTAATAATGCTAGTTATATCTGAAATAGTAATAAAAATAATACATTACCTAGTGTTAAAATTAATTCTGTTTAAAGCTCCTATACTTCTGGACGAAGCATCTGTGAATAATTTACTGTGAAGTAACATGACCCTGCATATTAAATAGAGTCGAAAGAACATCGGCAGAGACAGCGTGACATCATAAGGAACCTGGAATGTGAAAAGCAATCACTTAGTCTTAATATATTTTGCAGAAGGTGTACAAATATTATCTCGAATAGTCAACCTTAAGGCACGCGACATTAAAACGAAAATTTACGACAAGATTATCTTTTCAAGTGATGTCAGTTATACATTTAGTGAAGCAAAAACTAAATGTGCTTTGTGCTACAGTGATTTATAATTTAATTCTTTTGCATTTGAAATGGAACACGTTATTATTATTATTTTAATTATCTTTGCACAAAAATATGTTTATTTTATCATATTATGTTATGTTTAGAAGCCAATATAACATTTACACTCTTTAGAATTGTATAATAACCTCAAGTATCAGATAGTTTTTGGTTAAATACAACGTCACCCAAAATTATCGGCTAAACTTATCATCTAACGTTTCCTACATGCATACAATTAAAACAAGACCGAACAAGTATTAACGCTACACGAAACAAAATCAGTGACAGACACTATGTCTATATCACATTATCAAATTCACATTCACAAAAACAAGAGTTTTTTTTTCGCACATAAATTGGACACATGCTCAAGACGAGGACTCTAACATCACTTAAAATCGGAAACACTTCAACTCAATTAATACAGACCTGAATTTGCTTATACATCGTGCCCTAAGGAGAGAATTGAAAAAAAATAAACTTCAGTTAGCAAATAAAGCACAAGAATGAATGTAAATAATGAAAAAATACTTGTATTTGACGGTAAAACTACGAAATAGACGGTACTTAAGTCTGTAGGTACTCGTCTTGTAAAGAAGTGAAATCACAAAATAAAATACAAAGAAAACTAATCATTATACTACAGACATTTAATTTTAAAATTTAACATTGAGAATTTCAAAAACTATAACACCATCTGTAAGTGAGCAACATAAAAGTTGACTTGGTTTTCCAATAAGAAACTTTAATCAAGTATCTATTGCCAGACAACAAAAAGAGGCTCAAAATGCTTTGTATGACAATGATAACTACCTCTACATACTTAAGACAGATTCAGCATCTAAACTGGTACTTACTACTTCAACGCCTATAACTCCGCCTTTGTTTGCAAGTTTTGTGGTCCAGGTAAAGGTATATTGACCAGGGATAGGATGTACGGCACAGATAGCAAGCTCGAGGCCAATTTGAGCTATCCGCTGCCACGTCATTGCTATCCGCCAGTCGTCAGCGCAGTTGTCTATCATAAATAACTGGAACGTGATGAATCAGTGTTTTAGTGACATACACAGACAAGTTGAATTGCAAAAGTTTGAAAGAAAGAAAATGTGTAGAGTTCATGTAAATAAATTAAGGAGAAACAAAGACCTAAGTGTAAATAATATAACAGTAGACAAAGATATAGTGAACAAAATCGATAAACTGTGTAACTATGAAAAATATTACAAGTCGGAAATTAATACAAAACTAATGATTATGCTATTCACGAAAGACGGGTAAGTAAAACATATGGATTATATTACATTTTGTTATACTTAACGCACATGGTTTTAAAAGTTAGACGATATTAAAAAAATCTGGTTATACAAAATTGTTTGGACGCATATGTTCCAACTTCAAAACTTTCTTAATAAAAATCAAAGTCTCGTTTACAAGGAGCGCCAGGGTAATTGCTTTATTGATGCGCTGCATTAAAGAGATGGAAATTAATTAAAAAAGTTTCTCAGCTAACAATCTTTAAGAAGTAAAGTCGTCAGTACCTGGACTTCTAAAGCGTGGTACGCGACGATTAGGCCAAGTAAAATCACAGTCGACATTGATATAAGCGTCTTCAACGCCTGCGAATATATTGACGCCTGAAATGAAAAATAACAGGTTATTGTAATCTGAACTCTAAAGGAATGTATTTACAATCTGAATAAAATGATACTTTACCTTAGTATATACACCAGCACTTGAAAGTTCATTTTCTATAACCATAATTATTATACCAAACATTCCCATTACTAAAGCGTAGTCACTTATTCGTTTCCTTTTTTCGAATAACGCCTTTCTTCTACCTAACCTGGAAAATGAACGGAGAATTTATTAGTAAGTTCCATTTATTAATAAGGCACCTTATTTCTCTACGGTATTTCATGTCAAATTTCAGAGGGACTTCGAAATTTACGAGGGTGCCTAAACTAGGTCTCGATCGGCTCAGATCAAAGTTTTCGTGCCGACGTCCAGTATCGCGGGATTACTCTTTATTGATGAGGGCCCGTCGTCATTGATTGGTAGTTCGCAATCTTAGTGGGTCATTTATCAGTAATTTGGTTTTTAAAAGGATTCATTTGGGCTTAGAATAAAACAAAATTCGACGTAATACAAATGGATAGTGCCCAGTCTGGTTTATTAATACCTGTTTAAAATCATACACATTTTCATAATAATCCCTAATATTATTGAACAAAATTGTACCATATCAACTTGAATTAAAGTAGTATTTAGTATTTGTGAACCCAGTGACCTTCAAACGCGGTACGATATTGGAATACGTGATTCCAACAATGGAAATGCTTCTCACGTTACCGTTTGGCGTTTTGATTACTTCATAATGGAAAATGTCGTATAGAAATCCTTATTTCTATATTTTTGTTAGGCTGTCATATTTATTTCTTATCACACATTAAATTTGACATAGTAATAACAGCAGTGTTAAGCCTTGAATGTTTCTCAGAAGGAACATGTGTTGACGTCAACTGTCCAGTTTAATAAAATATGGGTAAATTAATGGTGATAACTTCTACACTGCACTTAAATAATTCCGAAGACAAACAAAATCGATGCGACCCTGATGCAAGTTATTTCCGTTCGTTCAAGGCTGATAGGCATTATTAAAACGCTTCTAGCTTGTATTCGCTTTATTAAGCGTGTTTTCGTGTGATTTATTGATTAGTTTTCAAGTAACCAATTAGTTTTGTTTTGTGTTTTAAGTTGATTGTTACTGTTTTGTTGGTTGAAAGGTTATTCAATATTTATAATAGACAAGGCTTTTTCTATTATGATTGTGGTATTTGTAATTTAAATAGATTTTTTATCAAAAAATTCTTACGACACAAAATTGGTAAATGAACCTAATATAACATATTTTTGGTCAGTTTTACAATAATTAGGTGCTACTAATTCACTATTTGTAATAGTACTCTTTTGATGTTATATTACATCAAGAATTTACCAGAAACAAATATGTAACGTTCGGATTGAACCATGTCTCCGAATTCCGTAAAATATTTTGCCATCATTTTTCATGGTTCAAAAAACATGGTACAACATTCTTGCTCGAAGACGGAGAAATTCGTTAAGATCATTTACAATCTCAAGGTGAAATCGGTCGTGTGAAAAGCACTTTAAATATTATATTCCCTTGTATTTTCCAGACGTCCTAAAAACGTGGGCGGGTTGATACAAAGCTGATAGGAGCACGCTCCAAATCCATAAACTACACATATAATGTGCTAGGAAGCATTTTGGAAGTGTTTCTTCTAAATTTTAGTAGAAATGTCGTATTTTTATGTAAAATACTTATTGTTCTTTAACACATTATTTCTTGTATCGATGATTATGAGTTTTTTGTTGTATACTTAGTTTGTAATCATGGGATTTAGTAGTTGAAATGCAAAGACTAATTTCATCTAATCAAAATCTTTTATGTTAATCTTCAATTCTGCCAAACTTTAAAAAAATATTTAGTGTGATATGTTCACTATGTTATCGTAGTCCTTCCTCGTACAGAATAGACTCCAACTCCATATTGGTTGGTGATATACATGTTCTATCTAAGATAGTGCATTCGCTTACCTATTGAAGTCTCATGAGAATAAACTCGTCGGTTTTCGGCCAACAATTGACCCCAGTTTTATTACACTGCTTATTGGTTTTATATAACCCAAGAGACTTAATGAAAATAGTACGAACCGATATCGGAAAAACAATGAACTACGCCATAATAATGATATGTTGTATTAACCACGGTTTTATTGGTCACATTTTACGAATGGCACAAGGATTCCCTTTATATGACTCGTAAAAGTTTTTTTGACAGATGATGTGTACTGAAGAAATATACTGATGTACTTGTTCTGATATTGTGTATTGACTTACTTGACTTAAGGATATATTTCCCTTGTGGGTTGTGTTTTAGTTATATTACAAAATAGTGATACTTCTACATCAATTTTGTTAACTTGTACTGACTAAATATCAACGGAATGAAGAATGAATGAACCGTGTAACCCGTTACAGAAAAGCAATCCAGTAGGACTAAAGATTTAAAACACAAATCGATTCATGGTACAAGTCCCACCCACACGCACGAAGCGCTTCGCGTCAAGCTTCCTTGTGCGTACTGCTAAGGAGCGGAATTCTTTGCCTGAGTCTGTATTTCCTGAAGGGTATAACCTGGGTGTCTTCAAGGTTCGAGTGAATAGGTTGCTAATGGGATGACGTGCTCCATCGTAGATCACATCATTGCATACCACCAGGCGAGATAGGCGTCAAACGTCGGCCCATCAATACAATAAAACAGAGCCTACAGGAGATTTCCTCTCTGAGAGACGGTCAGAACCAGACGTATCCGATATTAATAATAACGCAATAAATCACAGTGCACATGCATTCTCTGTAAATGGAAATTTATATTGAAATCGGATCAAAATTGTGAACAAATAAATCTTAGTCAGGATTTGCGGTTTGAAATCGTGGCGGATCAGATAGCGGATGAACGGGAACTATTTGCATAGTAAAATCAAACTCATTCAGAACATTGGAACGAAAAATATTACCACAGTTATATTTTTGGAACGTACGTCCCATGTAGTTAATACTAAAAATAATAGGTTCTCTAGGTCTCAGGTCTAGTGATTTACAAGTACTCAACATTGTTTTGGTAAATAATGTTAGTATTCACTTCAAAATGACGCCATTTGATAACTATATTTGCTTTTTATGTGTAGTGGATAATTCAGCAGACTGAAATCTGGTGGGCAATCAGCGCTAACGATGGACATTCACAACATCAGAGAAGTTACGAGTGACTTATACGGAAAATATCATTTAATTGATCATCAAAACTTCTTTAATCATTTGACATACCTACCTTCTAAAATCAATTCTCTCAATTAATCAAAAAACGAAAGAAAAGGAATATTAAAATTCCAATAAATGTAAACAAAGTCAAATAAAGGCCCATTAAAATCTTTCCTCGATTACTGAAGCTATCAAGTAACATACTGGCCCATTCACAACAAATGAACTGTGAATGTCTTCCTTTTTCGAATTCGATAAAAAAAGGAAACAAAAGAAGAATGCGAAACGTGTGGTCGTGAATAGCTTGCGACAAAGCAAAATTGGATTTTTAAATTTATTAATGTTGCTTCATTTTTACAGTGTACTGGGATAACTAAACGGTGTTAATTTGTATTTTAAATTAATTTGTTTTGTTTGTATTTGCGTTATTGATTATGAATATGTGAAAAGATCCCTTACTTTACCTTATTTATAGATATACATGGTCAGTAAGGGATCTTTTCAGATTTGATTCACGGATTGGGCTATCTAATATAGTGCTTATTTTTAATTAATTTAGAGTCTGACATTGTTTTTAGTGTATGACAATACCAGTTGATTACTGATAACTTAGAAATCTCTACGGAAGCATTTTATCGTTAGGTCATAATGTATTTTAATATCCAGCTTTTCATAGAATTCTTAAGTAAATATTTAAAATTATTACAATATTGAAATGAAATATTAAAATCAGTGGAGAAGTCGTAATAAGTTAAACATCATTTTGTTAGCTCCCAATGTAAACATGGATTCACATGATAGAACGAAAGTCTCAGCATTGTGTGATCTTACAAAGACGCTCTCCAATTATGCTAGAGTGCCAACTTTGTCGGCTTCATTATCATTTCATTGATCGACTTTTGAAAAAGTCTCACTGGCTTCAAAACTTCTCGATTTAAAAACCTTCCTTTGAATTATTTCGAATTCAAGACTTATTAGTTAGGACATCTTGTTGAATATTTCATTTGTGTGCTAAACTTTTAAGTTGTTTTCTTTAACGATATTAAACATTTATTTTGAACTCGCTATTTATTCTGAGTGACCTTTCAATCAGCGCTTATCATTGAATTTATTATTTATGTGCTCATTAATTTATTTACAAAATTAATGCTGAAATGAAAGCTAAATAAAGCCCTTATGATAATTTCATACTTCGTAAATTCCAAACACGATATATGAAGGAATCCAATGTAACCTTGTATAGGATAACTCAATAAAATCCCTTAAATGTCTCCGTACCGATTCTGAACATTTGATCTCAGGTACAATTTAACTCAATATAAAAACATCACGCACATCCACTCCAATTACAGACAGAGCATTGGACACTAACCTATATCCTATATTGGGTTTGTGCTTAGCTGTCCCCCCGCCCTTGTACGTGCCGCCGCCAAGCGCTCGTTCTTCGCCGAAGCGCGGGTACTCGCTGTGCACGCCGACTAGAGCGACGCCTGCTTCCTCGCCTCCCGCGTCCCTCCCTCCACCCGAGTACGCCTTCATCGCGCCCGGGATCGAGAGCGTCGACACCGGCTTCCGCAGCTGAAATACACCGAAATACACTGTCAGCGAATTGTTACAAATACGAAAATTGAGATTTCAATTTGAAATGAATACTGTCGCATGTTACATTGAAATCGTACTGTTGCGTTCCGAGTCCGTCACTAAAATCAGTTCCACGATATTACTGTTTTGATTCAGTTCTATATTTAACGAAGTTATTTCAATCCTCGGTGTCTCATCTTATATTAATAAATGTGAAGTTCATTCAAATTGAGATAAAAATATTATGCTGTGAAAATTTTCGCACAGGACTGTAGTATAAAATCCTTAAAGTCATAACCGTTTACCCTTCTTAACATAACAATGTCCGTTATCCTCTGAAATGTACGGCTACCCTCGAGGAAATACCATCGTATCCTTGACCCTAGATTAATAATATGATGCTTTATGGAAATAGCAAAAAACCGTCAATGAACGAGATGCTCCACAAAAAACATTCGCGTTCTAACTCTTACTGAAGATGCATTTGGCGACCGAAGCTTAATGCGTAACATATTTCAGCCGCGCAATTATTTCGTGACTAATGAGAAATACTTACTAAACTTCTAGAGCTCCAATTAAGTGGAGCACAAAAACATTTTCAAGATATTAAGCAAATAAAATTACGTGCCCAACTCAACTCTTAGTTGGTAAGACATGTTTGTGCGTAATTAAAATTTTCTGGATACTTGAGTGTGCCCAAGGCAACGGTGGGCGAAGCAAGGACGGAACTGTGACGTGCTACAATTTGCTAAATAGCCCTTTTGACCAAAACGTTTCTGCTGCGAGCAAATTAGATTTATATCTACGCGTATGCACCGTGTTACTCGCTGCGAGGATATAAATGTTTGCTGTTTCCCAATAACTTAATCTAGTCGAGGCTATTCTAACTAAATCTCTGATCTCATTTATTTTTATGTCATCAGCGTTTGATTTTGACATTTTAACAAAATATAGTTAGTGTTAGTTAAATGATTTACAGTACACACGACTTGTTGATCATTTCTACCCGGGGTCTCAGGAGGTTTCTATCCGGTTATATTTTAAGGACATCTTTGCATCAAAGGCAAGGGTTACAGAATCCTCAAATTAGCCAATCGCTCATGCGTCTAGACGACCAAATCGACCAAGCGTGACGTCGATGTGCAGTGGCCTTAAAGTAATCTCGTTGTAACACGATAAACCTGGATCATTGCGTGTAAACCATTGCTTAATTAAACCTTATGAACTTGTATGATGTATTCAAAATACGTCTAACAACGTCTGGTATGAATATTTTAATTAAAACGCTGTCCCGTGAACTGTAGCTTTATACAACATGCAACATCGGCCGGTAACTGGGCTTAAATGGAAACCCTGAACGCAAAATTTATAGTGAATTAGCTTTGAGCTCTAAGAGTTTTAATTTTAAACGTTATTTTTTTTTCTCGTTTACTTTGCGTGAACATTCACGTCAGTACCTGGTACAGTATATTAGTTAATTATAACTTTTTTATATGAAAATCACTTTGTTGTTTCCCAATTTCATACAGTCCAACCATAATGTTTTTTAACCTTTGATAATTTCAAAGGAGAAGATTTGAAGTATTATAAAACTAAGATTAGTTGTATTTATACTCAGTACAGTGTACATGACCTCTCAATAAAATTTTCCTATTTAATGAGTTTATGTTATAAAGGTACACATAGTCTATCGACTATCACGCATGTACAAATGTACATAACATGTATTGAACAATTAGCGTTCTGGAAAATATAGGGCAAGCAATTACATGCTTAATGACTTATTTACACACGGCAGTTAATTGCTTACGTAAGAATATTTACTTCCCAGCAGTTGTCGGAAAATGAATACTTGTAAGTAATTCTTGGAAATACGTTCGTTGGGCCTTAAGTCCTAATACCGAATAGATCTGCGGTATCACGTCGCCAATTCGGTTAAACTTGGGTGATCCGATCGTAATAGTACCATTCGTATAAACTGTCCTCGCTGAAACTACCCGTTTACTCTTCCATTGGTGAAATATGGGGATAAATGAAGATGAGAAGCTAGGTAAAAATGTTATCTCGCTTTTTACTACCATCGCTTAAACAAAGTACTGGCATTATTATTTGATTCTGGTGTCATTTACACGGATACACGGCAATAACGATTTATATTGCGCCAGCAACTTCACAATAAATTTCTACGTAGATACAACAATATACAAAACCATTTTGTTCTTAACTATACTCGTTTGGTAAAATGATTTTACTCAAACTAGCAACCAACTCTAAATGAATTTTCGCAAACAAACAAAACAAAATTAGGGATGTACGAGCATAAAGTGACCGCGAAAATTTTTGTCTTTATTTTTAGAGTAAGCACATTCATTCACTCGCTCACTCATTCAGCATTCATAACACATAGCGAAACTTTTTCGTTTCCCGTCAAAAGTTTCGAGTCGGAAACTTTATTTTTTTTGCTATTACACATATAAAATGTTTTAAAATTACGCGTTCTCTCGTATTTTGGAGAGATAATTTTAAATTGTTCACGTTTTAATGTGTGTATAATGATTTACTTTTTAAGAGTTCTAATGAATTTGTCTACAGAACTTACGGAACTTACAATAATTTTATTACATGGAAATTAGTGTTTTGTAATAATCTTAAATGCAATTTGAAGGTTTCACAAAAGTTCAAATTGCGATAATACAGAAATTTGTTTAAATAAGTTAGCTATTTGAATGTCTTACACTTGTTGTAATTCATAAGACTTTCACAATGATCACTAACATCATATTTATTGGCTTCCAAGCTTAACAATAAACGTTAATTATAGATTATGATAATTATACTGAAAGTTGAAGTAATACCCAGAAATGTATTACTGTTGCCTGCAAGTAAGGTCGAGTCTTGTCGAGTGACGACGTATTGGGGATTGAAGCAAGATTCGAATACAAATGGGTGAGATAGGAAGTGCTGACATCTACGATAGGTGTTGGTAAACACTGATGAGTTTCGATCCTTAAGTGATAAGCGTAAATTTACGACAGTTTCGCTGTTTCTGTGTTTGTGCATTTACGGGATTTTGTGATAGTAAATTGGTTATCATCAAACATTAAGGATAAGGGTAGTTCTGGTTAAAGCTAAAATCTCATATATTTTTGTACTAATAATATTAAAAATAATTGCAGTATGATTATCTTTCTTTAAGAATTTTAGATTTTTAGAGGTTAATTTAATTTAATTATTATCATTATCAATAGTACTATCAGTTTACTGCCTTGCACTGTTTTTTCTTGCTGTCATGGGTTCTATTATCAATACAACGCACTAGTATCATTTATTATGCCATTTTGGTCACCGGATACAATATGTAAATCCTAAAGATTAAATACTATACACTCCTCAACCATTTCAGTTCACAAAACAAGAAGACATTTAATTTATTTCTTCATACTTTCATCTGTAAAAGTATCAGTCGTACCTCAAGCTATGAGCAAATGTTTTGGAAAATTATGACAGTTATAAAAAGGCAATTTCAACTCTCACCGTTAGACCAAGCGTTGAAAATAAAATGATTATTGTCAATGCTTTTCATTGGTGAAACGTTGGGTCATAAGCAGTATTTGGACAACAAATTGAACTTGTAATTGCATGGAAAACAAGCCGTGATTAATTACTGCCATAATTTTGGGATGAAATTAACGTTGTAATGGCTATAGTGCATAAATTTCACTTGAAAATAGACGAATTCGTTTGTGTAACAGGGGTATTCGTGTTGTTTATGTTCGATGCCTACGTACGGGTACTACAGTACACGCTTAAACACTAGATTAACTTCATTAGCCTGACGATATTTTTCCACCCCGGTTTCTCCTTTTGCTAGTCAAAAGATTTATTAGAAACGGAATTATTTCTTGTACAAGTTTAGCCTAATATTGCGAGTGATTATCATAAACTTTAACATTATATACCTATATTTTGGAATCGGCTTACCTACTTATTTGATATGTGGCCCCACAATTAATTTGAACAAATGCAGTGCGATAACAATGTGTCACAATAAACTCATGAAGAAAATTCACTTATCGTTACAAATGTCACGTAAATGACGGAAACCATTTAACACAACATTGGCCTTGTCTGCTAATAAAAATCCTTGAAATACTGTCGAGGATAAGTCTCGTTCTTGTAGTGTTTAAACTGCAATAAAGCTTTTCTGACGACAGGTAGCTGGCTCAATGCCCAGTAACAGTAATAAGTTGATTTTAAAAGCATTTAAAGCTGTTTAACTCGTCGAGTACCGGTTTTGTAGACACAATTATAGAACAATAGGTTGCGGTCACCGGTGACCGCTTGGTGTTTGACAGTTTAAATCAAGTATACTCTATGTAAATATACCGTTTTGGTTGATAAAAAATATAAGTGCCACAAAATTGCTATTTTGTTCTAGATAAAGCATTATGGCTGAGAACGAAGTGCCAAGGGTTTGCTAACTAGATATTGACTAAATATTGTCTAACTATTGTCTAACTATTATTATTGTCTAACTATTTAGTCAAGGAAATATTACTAAACAGGTTTCTATTAGATTACAAATCATCAGACACTTAATTTTTAAAACTAGTGGAAAAAAAAACTACAGCTAAAAGGTACTAATGACCCTAATTATAAAATAACTTCATTGATGATGGTGCCAATAACAAATGCGAGTAAATAGCAACACAGTCATAATGTCCCATTACAATGATTGAAGGAAACCATGTTTATGTTTTTCAAAGCCCTACTTCATGGTTCGCGATAAAAATAAATACATGGAAAGCGTTCTAAACATAGATTTATCAGGTTCAATCCAATGGAGGTTGCGTGAATATGTTAGTACGCTGTTGTTGACTATTTCAAGGCATTTACACTAACAAAACGATATTAATATCCTAGGGTTTATAGAAAACTTGCGACCCGCCCAGGCTTCGCGCGCATGCATGTATTATACATATAAACCTGCCTTAAGA